CTAATTCTCTTTTCTCCAGCAACTCTTCCTGCTCTTTCTCACCTGCTGACACTTATTTGCGGACACCAACTTACTGTATGAAAAAGCTTAATGTGTTATGAAGAGACTGATCCTGTTGATGGGTGTTATACATGATCTGAGACCCCATCCCATATCAAGACTCTCATGGGATCTTGAGACAGGAAGGTCTTGTTTGGTCAGACTTGCACATCTACTAGATGTTGAGCTTCTCAAGCATGTGATCATATAACCTTCAGCAAAGGTGCAATAAATTATCTTGCATGCAACTAAGACTAAGAGCAGCCCACCACCAGGAGCTGCCTGGGACTTGCTAGTTAGCTTTAAATCTACATACCCTGGCTTGTTCCCCCATATCCTTAGGTCTGAAGGTCTCCTCACTGTGACAACAAAGTATGTAATAACCTGTATTACTCAAATGTCAAATGTTACTTCAATAGGGTCAAAAAGTAGTTCTACAGAATCACCTAAAAAGGCTTTCTCATTCTAATGCCAGAAGCTGTGACTGCTCAAATACCAACTTCCCTTTATTATTCATAAATTGCTTGTCCTCCTCAGGCTGATGCAGAGAATGTTATCCACTGCAACACCACTCTGAAAATGAATCCAAATAAATAGAAGTTGGGAATCCATTCCGTTTACAAACGAAAGAACAGATTTGCTTGTTTCCAGTTACCAGCCCACCATCCTGTGGGCTCCTAAGCAGCAGGCTAAGCTCTTCTTTCACCTCAACAGCTATGTAGACAACACACATATTGTGCTTACGGACATGCCTGCAAGCCATTTGAAGACCAGATGAGTGACACTAAAAGCATCAACTGGCTTCAGAAATCTGTAACAACCAACCATGACAGGAGCATGATCTTTCCTTATTCCTAAGAAGTCATTTAGGAAAGCACTCCCCTTGTTTGGCTTACCTTTTTCTCTCTAACCAGCCCCTCCTAGACCCTGAGGCAGTTTCCAGAACACATTCTATTTAAAGAGACATTTTCCCACAGCTGACAGGTAAAAACCTTGTCATTTCAAACCATACAAGGCCATGTTTACCCAGGATCATAGTAGGTGGAACACGAGAGACAGCGTGGAGCGCTCTAACCCCGCAACAGGATCAGTCAATCAGCTTTACCCATAGACGAGGGTCTATGGAAAAAGGCAAGATTTATGTGGTAATTGTGTTCCTGGACTCTGGGGGTCTGCATGAGTTCTGCGGTGTTCTGTCCAGAGATACCAAAAATCCTTCCCTAAGGTTTTCCTGTGCGTAACTCTTCTTGCCTGACAGCGCTACTTTTCTCTCGGTGAACAGAACTGACAGCACTTGGCAGTACGCTGTCTGCCTAAGTGCAGTAAACAGTAAGACACAGGCACAGAAATTATACTATGCAGGATAAAAGTAAAAATCTATTCCTTAAACATGAGACTCTGCAATGCAATTGAGTCCATTCTGAGCTCTGTTTTAGCAGCTATCAAGACAGACCAGTAGTTGCCTTGTATGTCCCCAGTTTTAGAGAAGCTGGCAAAGAAAATGTCAAGGATTGTTTTATGCACACTCTTACATGTAAGAAGATTAAGAACAAGTCTAACTAGTTTTCAGAAAGAACAGAAAATCCAGCATTAATCATCTACTGAGATCCAATGTTCCAACATTTCTCATGAATTCATGTGCTTGTCTGCCCACCTACTTATAAGCCAGGTCCCTCAAAACTTGAAATATTTCAACACATAATGAATTAATCATGAGAAGGAATGCGATATAGTATGAAAGGAAAAACAAAATGAGGAAAGTAAAATTCAAACATATGATCCATCAGTTAGCAGCTTCACCTCAGATCTGGCCAAGCATTAGAGCTAAGCATACACGAGTACGAGCTTCCTTCCCCTCCTCGTTCCTTCTGTACTGTTTCTGAAATCCTTGTCTGCATTCAAGAGAAAACACTGTAATACTATTAACATTCTACATGTTTTATATCGTACTTCGATATAGCTCATTCATTCTCACTGATTTCTCGTTAATAATCTTCATTGCCAGCCTTGCAGAAAACACAGCAAGTTTTGCCCTAAACGGTCAAGAATTTAGCAGCATTCATTTACCCTCAGTAGTCAAACATTCAGAAAATAAAACTGACCACGCCTTCCCATTTTTTTTTGCCTCTGAAGAAAGATACGACATAAAATTTGTGATCAGCTTCCATTTGCCTAGCTCTTACCCCCTTGCCAGTTCCTCTCTAGCGTTTTGCAAAATCCTGACTGCAGCACCGGTATTCAGTGCTACAGAAAGGCATCGGACCACTGTGCCGAAGCAAACCAGCCGAAGGGACAGCATACTATTCTTTTCTCTCATCATAGCAGAGGGAGCAAGTGAACAAGTTGTGCTGGCTTTACTCCACAGACACCAAGAGGAAGCCAAGGCCGTCTCCGTTTAAGGGAGCTCTCTGCCACTATGTGTTCTTGTGAACAGCAAAGGGGAGGCAAATGAAGGCCAAAAATGCAATGCCCAAATAATTTATTTCAGGATACAAGGGCAGCATCAGCATTGTGAAGTTGTACAAGTAAACAACTTGAGACAACATCTGATTTAAAGCACAGACCACCAAAACCAGCCTCTCCAAACGTAGTAAGTATTAAACTAATTGCCAGACAATTAGAGCAAGTACCTTCAGATCAGATCCGGGGACACAGGATTTTGTTCTGAGAAGAAAGCAGACTCTGTCCATTATTTTCTTCTTGCTGTCAGACCATAAAAACATTGACTATCCTTAATTCGTTTGACTAGTTTTTCAATAGCATAATCATTCATACCTCACCACACCCATATATCTTTTCTCTTCCTCTCATATTCATCATCAAAAGCTATAGTCACATAAAAACTCCTGTATGATACCCTATGGAAAGCAGCTCTAACCTTAGGGTATTAAAGAAGAAAATTAAAAGCCTAATTATGTTTTGGAGTTTACAAATTTTTCAGTTTACTTTCAAAAACCTGAAAGTCACATCCACCTCCTTACACCAGCACTGGTGGACAGGAATATTGAACACACCAATTACAGGTAATGAGCTGTGTGCATCTACATTAGCACTTTCACTTGTATCAGTTTTTGAAGCATTGCCCACTCGCAGCACTTGTTTCCCCACATTGTGGAAACTCCCTCTGCATACCAGCTGGACTGCTTTTAGATGGAACTGAGCTTGCATAGGTACTCCAGGGGATTGTATAAATAAACATCCAGTATCTGGGACCCAAACAGAGCTGTATTATACTAGAACTCCCAAAACATACCCAGCATGGAAAAAAGGCCTTTTGCAAGAAGTGTTTTGCCTTATGGACCCACTTTGATTGCACTACCCTGTCTGCTGATTTGGACATAATTATCCCAGTCTGAAATTCTTGGAAAAAAAAATAAAAATGAAAGGTTACACTTTAGAAAGTTATGGTAGTGTTGGGGTTTTCTTGCCTCACCTAGACATACAAACTTAAATGTTATTTTAAAAACAAACAAAATTCAGTACTTCAGTCTTGATTTATGAGTCTAAATACCAACTCAGAGATAATCTATCCTTTTTAAAGGTTATCTGTAAAAAGTCAAGAAAGCCTGAGTTTTTACACTCAGCTTTACCACATTCTGAGGAAAAGCTAGGGTAAGAACTGGACAAAAATAAGTTAGTGCTAGACACAATCCCAAACACTGCTATTTGTACTGCACATTAAAATTTCCAAGGTAAAGAAGTTCACAGGATCTACTGTGAGTGCATGTGTCTATCTGTAAACCAAATCTGACAGAAGACATGAGTACAAATGTAACAGATCCTAAACACTTTCACAGTTGAAACTGTAGCAAATAGGGAGATCTTGTACAATCTGTTGAAGCCACAGCACTTCCCCTCCTGAGTTTCTGGGTGGTGGTGGTGGTTTTTTTTTTTTTGTTTTGTTTTTTTTTAAGGCTGGGGTTGTGGTTGTTTTTTGTTGTTTTTTTGTTTGTTTTTTTTTTTCTTTCTTTTTAAGCTGGTGTTTACAGTGTACTATCTTCCAGTTTGACTTGACACAGGGCCTAAACAGCATGCATCTTCCCTGGTGCTGCCACAAGGCAGCCCTTGAAACACTGTTTCAAGTCCTGATCAATGTCAAGGGTGGCAGAGCTTGCAGGGCCAAACCATTAAGTCATTAGCTGGTGCTGAGGTTATGCTGATGAAAACATTTATCCCTGGTAACTGCTCCATAGTACACTTTTCCCACTTTTTATATACTACTTCCCTGCGTAATGGAAGTATCCTGACTTAAGATGCGCCAAACAACAGGTATTTCTCAGAAGTGTCCCACTATGCAACAGCACCCCTTCCAAGGCCTTCACAAAAGTCTGAAATTAATGTATTTGAGCCAGCAAGAGTAAGCAATTAAACTTTTATTCATGATCATTTACATATGACTAAAAGTGTTCACCACAAAATGCAAACTTTCAGTTATCTTATATTTAGCAGTGAAAATAGTCATCTCTTCATAGTCAAGCACCAAGGAGCACATCACAGAACAGTCAGAAACAGATCCCATGTACCAGTTCCCCCATCCCCCAGCCTCACAACATACATGACAGTTAAAGGTTTTATAAAAAGTCTAAAAGTTCCAGAACAAATTCTAGAGTCACCTGAGTGCTTGGCAGGAACAGTATTATTGAGTAGCAGTTACATTACCTGTAGTGGTATTTACATAGCACTTTTTTCTGCCTTTTTTGCAAAAAAAAAAAAAAAAAAAGCTACTTCTTACAAAACCCCCTAATTGGGCCAAACATTGGGTTTCATATTTCACCTGAATTTTTCAATGGGAGCCAAACAGAACAGTTTGCTAGTAGGAATACCTACAACCACCATAAGAGCAGATATCAAGAGGAAAGGAAAAAAAATTTTAAAAAAATCAGCTCATTATAGCATGATTGGTAGGGCCCAACTGCTGACAGGCACCTATACCTATACCAGCTTTTTTCCTTTACATTTAATTAGTATTTCATTCAAACATACTACATTTAAGACAACATGATTTTTTTTTTTAAGTGAAGTTGTGTACATGGAAAAATACATGTACACAGTTTTGGTAGTCATTTAAAGCTGTAAAATTTTAAGTAAAGAGATCCCTATGGACCCCATTACAGACTAAAGAGAAATAACCAGAATCAGTGTTACATCCAAAACAATATTCTAACACAGAAACCAATACAGTCATCAAATAATTCATTAGAGAATAAAATTGTTATACAAAAAGAGAAATCCTGCCTTTTTATCACTTCAGAACAGCAAATAAGAAGGCAACATTAGGAAAAGTGCACAGCAGAGAAGAATTGTTCAGTTTCCTGAAAAAGTTGAATTTTTCTTCAGACACCAGGCTTTTGTCCAGAAGCATATTGGGTTAGGATTGTTTATATTCTCTCCCAGATCAGTCTCTTCTTGCACTAGTTCTCAGTAAGGCGCTTACTCTGACATGTAGGAACGATACATCAGGGCCACGATAATTGCTGCTATTGCTGGGATCACCCAGTTGGACCACGAACTACAAGGAAGTTTTTGAAACAGCAGTTTAGGTAGTGACAACCAGCAAGTTTTTTAAAAAAAAGTCATTGCTTAAAGTAGTCCTTTCTCCCCACTCCAACAAATACTTCAAAGTTAGGGCAACAGAACACCTGGGCTGGCCAGTAATACTCTAGCCAAGAAAAAAAAAAAGCTTGTACTTTTAAGGCTTTGTAATAGAGCTTACAAGAATTTTGCTTACTAGAGATGAGTAAGACTCTAGACACATTTAAAGTCACAGCACACTGCCCAGAATATCATACATTCAAAAGACATGTAAATAGCAGAAATACATGACACTTTCAAGCACCCAAGCTCCCCACTCAGGAACAGTCCTCTGCCGTTTCAGCAGTAAGCAACTGTCAGCAGGCTCTAACTTTTTAAAGTTTCGTTCATTGGTGTTCCAAGGTGCTTTCCCCCCCTCTCCCAATCCTGACAGATTTTCCTTCTTGCAGGCATAATCCTCTTATTTCCCTTAGACAAAACAGTTGTAGCAAATTTTACAAAGTGAGGCATCCTTGGCAGTAAAAAAAGTCAGCAATGGCAGCAAGTGTCTTCTATTCAACTGATAATAGAGACACTAAGCTAACATGCTTGTTAAGTGGTAAATAGATGCCAACTTGGACTTTACGTAGAACAGAAATTTTCATGCACCATCCTAACATCTAAGCTTCCAGCTGATAGAAGCTATTCAACTTTTTAAGCTTCAGAAACATAATCATAAGGAACTCAAAGTTGCCATCAGGTGTCATACTATACCTGGAATTAGACTGAGCAGTGGTAATAAGAGTTTCCTGTAAAGCAAAACAAAGAGACATTTACCTCAGGCAGATATGCCTTTCCATCTTAACTAGCCTCAATTTCTCAAAACTCATTAAGTGGGACTAATTTAAAGACAACTCAGTGCATTGCATTTGGAAAGCATTTTCTCCGAATTCCTTAACAGACTTGTGTTAGACGCTAGCAGCAGTTATTAAAAAAATATCACAAAGAATTTTACTACAAGTTTTCCATGAAGCTACTTCAACCTCAGGTTACATTTGAAGAGTTTTTAGTCACTTAAAAGACCAAGATTTCTTACTTGCCTAAAATCTAATTGAAAATACTCTGAATTAATACACAGGTATTTCTTATATGGAACCTACATTAAGAAAGCTACAAATTTATATCTACAAGGCTTATTAAGCTTAGGGTTTTAGTGTGGTGTTTCAGATTACAAAAGAATCAGTCAAGTTATAGTTGTTTCCAATATTGATTTGGACTTCTTGTTCAGTTTAGGAAAAGCACTACAAGAGCAAATCCCAGTTGGGTATATGTGCCTAACTTATATGAAGACTTATTAATTTGAATACTACTAATTGCACATGGCCTTAAGTGCATTTAAAAGATCCAAGCATTAAAACTGTACTTAAATTTCCTGGTACAAGATCAATCACTGAAAAATGAATTGCTTCAGTATCAGAATATTTGTAATTCATTTTAAGAGCAAAAGATTCCTAACATCCTCTCGCAGGTTCAAACAGGCTACTTTTTCAAGCATCCAAATCATCGCAGTTTATCATGTGACAAATACCGTATTTTAAAGAATAAGACTCTGATTACATCTGTATTGGTTTTGTGAACGCCTCCATGAAAAACTAATCCCAAAGACAAACGATGGAACAGCTTGTGTCCGTACTACCAAGGCTAATGCCTTCTACAACAGACTTGCCACTTCCAGGGCTGGGGTATAGTTCTCCCCACATCAAGACAGTAAGAGGAGCATGGCCCAGCTCATCAAAAACCTGTTTTTAAACAGTATGACAGTGGACATGTACACTGAGGGTACTTTAAACACAGTGCAAGGATGAGAAGGACATTTGAAAGCACAAGGCCTTCTGACAGCTCCTAGAGAGCCAGGGCACACAAGGCCTAACCTGTCACGTCACACACTCAGAGCGTAGTGCAAAGTGAAACTGTCTTATCAGCTACACCCACACGTCCTGCTGGAGGAAAGTGCTCCAGCTTCCTTCTGGAATGACGGAAAACACACACATAGCATAGATAACTATGACCAGTACTAAAACGAGTGAATAAGCCAAATAGGAGTGTAGTAAAAAGTAATTTGGATACATCTTAACTCCCAGCTGGCCATGCTTTGACCAAACTAATATTCTCAGCACTTCAGTTTAGCAAGTTCCTATGAGCTTAATCAAAGGACTGTATTACTAGAATTTGCACCAGGTGGTCTGTTTCTCAGTTGCATTTATGATTGCTACTCCTACAGCTGAAGTGTACATTGTCCTGAATTTCAAAAGAAATCTGAATAGCAGATGTTATTCTTGGTGGAAAGAAGCTCTGAATTCCAGTCACCACTCCAATTTCTTGTTTTTATTAGTATACTAGTTCCAGTCCTTAATTAATAATACAATTAATTGCTATACCAAGTATTTCAGTGTACACATTTTTAACTTCCTTTATTTTATTCATATTATTGGAAGATCTTACAAAAGTGATTGTTTCTTAAAAGTAATCTCTCAAACAGCAAGAGTAACATCCTATTCCTACTAAACTTCATTAAAAAAATAATCTTCTATTTCCTAAGTGCATTGCTGCACTGTTAAGCCAGCCCTAAGCAAACACCCTCTATACACATAGCAGCAGCAACTGTACAAAGTAATCCCTGATGCACTTGCTCCTTTAAGGGACAGCTGAATTTTATGAGTTAAATAGAACAAAGATGTGTTGGCACTTAACTGTTAAAGATAGAAATAAACCTAGAAAATAAGTGCAATAGTACATTGACAGGACACTCAAAATCTACTGAAACAGTCAGGAAGCAAACAGTATTTTCACCTTGAAAAGGATTCACAATTGCATATTTACTGATCTATAATACAGCAACTAACTGCCTCTATATTCTATATCTACTACTGTTACCAATATATTGTTAAGCACCACATTTTTTCCATCTACAAACACATTAGTTTAATCCATTCTGTCTATAAACTGATTTTTTTCTTAAACTGAATACTAGAAAATCATTGACTGTTCTAGACTTGCCCTTTTGCTATAGTGTAATGCCATCACGCTTAGTAACCTTTTGGTTCAAAACCACACAAGTTAAAAGAATAGCTAACAGGAAGAATAAGTTGAAGCCTGATCAACATGTTTAAGAGATTTATGACCTGAAACATTATGCTTAAATCAAGCTGAATTATTTTTGCCTCTGGCGGTATACCATTTACAGAGAAACACTGATTGTCATGCCCAAAAGAAACAATGTGGCATTTCAAGAAACACACTTACTGTTGGCTTCTGAAGCTTTCCTCTATCATCCTGCAAGAAAACAAGCAAAAAACCCCATATTTAGACAAAAACCTGAAGCATTCAAATAACACTTATCACTAAATTCAGCTTGCAAATCTATTTTTTCTGTTTTTACCTAGAAAACAGACTTGCAAAAGAACAGATGTCAATGTATGCTTTTGAGCTACCATAAACAAGATCACTTCCTTAAGTAACACTTCCCAGTATACAATAAAGTGAAACATGAGTCTCCAACATATTTCATTATTTCTTGTGCCCATGTTTTTGCATTTCTTTTGTCTTAAAGAGTACACATAACCTTAGCTTATACAATCATATTAGTTTACTTCTACCTAGTCTACTCATGTTACCAGGCCAATTCATCTAACTAGTTTTCGTCCAACATCCTGTACAAAGGTTCAAAACTCTATGGATCTTCCATAAGCTCATGAAGTTTTACTTGAAATAGTCACATTTGTTACAAAAAAGCCCAACAGAATATAACCTTGAAAGTGCTGTATTTGTACATTAAACTGTTAAGCTGTTTCTTTCATGTCAAATGAAAACGGGCATTTCTCAAACAAGGAAGAACTACTCAAGACAGTGATATTTACCCCAAATGCAAGACACAGGAAGAGAGAAGAGGCAGAGATGGGCAGTAGAGCAGAGGATATAGGCACACAAGCAACCTAGGTCTCTAACAAGTGGTTTTCAACTGTTAAGATGCAGGAGAGCTTAAGAAGAGGACTATCTGAAGGAAGCCAGGGTAGCAGCTCTGTAGCTAGAAATAATGCATTCAAAGCTTGAAGCAGTAGGAAGGTGCTTGTTAAAAGCACAGGAAATAAGGGTAGTATTGAAAAGAAGTGACAGATAATCCAGTGGGAACTGACAACTGCAAGTAGGGAACACAGATACAGCACAAGATGGGAGAGCCATAGGGGGGAAGATAGAGCATCAAACCAGAAGATACTTACAGTAGCCATTTTTCTAAACATATATATGAAGAGCCATAATTGTACTTTTAGATCCAGATGGAAGCCAGGCATATATATTTACAATGATTAGAGAATGAAAGCAGCTGTTGAATAACAACTCTGTATATTGACATAAGAAAAGGCCTAGACATTCTGACACACCACCTTCAGGGGTTATAGAGTGTCATTATAGAGCTCACAGGATACACCAGAAATGGCATGATTCCATATGCAGTTTATTCAAGAACTAGGTTGAAAAATATTTCAAAGCAGCAAAATTTTAGACATGACCATCCTTACGCTACACTAAACAAACCCCTTCACACAAGGGAGACTTATCTCCAGTCCAGGTCCATCCAAAAAAAAAAAAAAAGCTGCAGGACTGGCATCCAACCAAACTAGCAGCTCTCCTTTACTTTGAAGTAAATTACCAGAGAAATAACTGAACAGCAAGTACTAGTACTCTCACATACTCACCGGATGAAGTTCCCCAATAATAAAGGTTTCTGACAGTGTCCTTGCATCTGTGGAATGGCCAACATCTTCAAAGTTCTCAGTAGCATCTCCTCCAGCTTGCTCCCTGAGGACCTCTTCACCACCCGGGTGCTGCAATTTTTAATGAATTAGAATTTGTTACTGAAAACCATTCCACATTCTAAAAATGGAAATTCATGTCTACATTTCTAAAATAATAAAAAATGTCCTTGAAAAATCAGCTGCTAGACTTGCGAGCAAACAAACCTCTCTGAATAGCTAGAGAGCTTTACATGCTCTCTGAAGCCAAAACCAAGGAAGCCAAGTTTCTATTCCATCAGCAATGGAGCAGTAAGAGGCATTACCCTAGCAACTGAAGCATTTAGAACATTATGGGAATCAGTCTTTTAATAGCCCAACTATTACCTAAAGTTACATTCCATGTTCTCACTTCTGCAGGAAATCTGTATTTTTATCCAAACAATGCTTTATACAGCAAAAGGATAAAAGCCAAAATGTATAGGTGGCAGCTAGAACATTCCAAGTAGATCTAATGAAAATACTATTCAGAAGAGCAATCAAGCACTGAAAGAAGTTGGCAAGGGAGCACACAGAATCTTCATCCTTTGAGGTTGCCTAGGCAAGGCACTAAGGTACCAGACCTTCAAATTAATCCTAGTTTGAGCTAGGGTTTGGACCAGATAATTTATTTTGGAAAGGATCCTTGAAGATTATTGTATGATTATCTAGTAAGTCAGCTACTTTGGAACTGATTAACCCCAACAAAGCTCATACAAGACACCAGAACACCAATTCCAATTTAGCAGACTACGGAATCCCAAAACCACATTGCTGATAAAACCCTTGAGACATTATAGAAATCATGTCCCAGCATCTCCTAATACCTCAACCCATCACCACTCCCTTAACCTAAATCCCTGATGTCCATTGACTTGTATTCCACACACTTTTGGGATTGAATGCAGTTCTACATTTCCATCCATCAAATAACTCTGTACATACTGCAAGATATATGACATCTTCTAGTTCAGTGAAATTTCCCAACTTCAAGTTACTCCTTCATATAGCAGATAACACGCCATAAAAATTCACCACTCAACTTTTAAGTAGGAAACTACTACATAAACACCAGCGGTGATTAGGTAAGTAAGTTGAAAACACTTTATTACTAATGCCTTGGATTAAGGCAACCATGAAATAAATCTCAACGCTTTACCAGTGACAGAGGAAATAAGGCTTTGGAGACTCAATGCCATTTTTAATACCTCTGACTACAGAATTCAGAGTGATGAAAGCAGGCAAAAATTTCCACTATTTAGGGTCATCTTGCCTGGAGTATAGCTGAACAGAAAGGCTATGCTTAGACAGTAGATTAAAGAAGTGACATTAACGTTTCTGCTAGTCTAGGAAATCTGGATTGCCATTTACTTCAAATCTACCATATTAACCTCCTATCAATCATTCTCTTCCAACAAAAACAGACTTGGTCATACAGATGAGGAAGACGCTATTACTACCAGTTTCCAGCAGTACCAGAACTTGAATCTTTGCATTAAAGGCAGACACTTATTTTAATACATTGTTTTGGGTTTTTTTGTTTGGTTTTTTTTTTTTTTTTTTTAAAAAAAACAAACCTCAATCCAACACTTCTTTTAAAAAGAGCCAAGACACCACAGCTAGAAGGGTAAGGGATCCCTACCATGACTAAGCAAAAGCAAGATTAAGCAATTGATAGAGAGATCAGCAGCTGAGCCAAAAAAGGTTAAAAGAGTGCATGCAGAGCAAAGATTATGCAAGCAGCTGTGCAAATATGGCATGGTCACCAAAATCCTGACCTTGAATCCATTCTGATAAGTATTGAGGGAAAGGACCAGACAAAAGTTGATGGATCACTCAAGTTCAGTGCCTTGAAACATATAGTACATTTAAGAAGCTGAACTTGGGTCTAACAGGCTCTCTCAGACATTGCCACAACCAAGTCTTCAAATAATTCCTTCAGCAATGTGGCATTTGGGGCTTTGGAGGTTTAGCACAGTATTAAAAAAACAAAAAGAACTGCATTCCCCAAAATAAGGAAAAAAAAATATATGTAGCACCTTCAGCAGAAAACAAAGCAAAACTCCTTGGAAAACATGCTTAACAAACAAGACATAAATAATAGGAAAAAGGCACCAAAGTTAAACTACCCATAAAGCACTAGCAGCATGCACACTCATACTCCATGCATTGCAAGGAGCCCAAACCCTACTCACACGAGTAGATAAAATACTACTTACTCCAGTATGTTGTCAAGATCACATGGTTTACACTAGTGCTCCCCAAAAATTCAACAACCAGCCAAACAAGTGAACACATACCAGCATAACTGCATCTACATTAAAACTATTTTGCAGAGTACTTTAACACACACCTGCAGGTTGCTCATTACAGAATGGTCATATACTAATTTGTTCCCAAATCCCTCCCTTGCACCACTACAAAGTAATCACATAGCTACTTCACTGAGGCACTCCATCTTTTCTCTGTAGGATGAGTTTTTGGTCTAATTAGTAACTGATCCCTTTGTCTACAAAACCACAACATTAGTGTCACCAGTGACCATGACCAACCCTCTCAGTGGCTCTCACGCATCAGCTGAAGGGGACAAACTCACCCTGACCTCTGCTACCATAGCTGGACAACCAATAGTACTTTTTCCCCCTCACATCAGCAAGACTTAGAGAGAATCACATACAGAATTCCTAACTTAAGCCATCTAGCAGATGTTACTAGTAACCTACTATACATACATAAAATTACTTCAAAGCTAAACACTTTTTTTTAGATGGCACATGTGCTTAAAGACCTAAACATGCAAACCCTCAGCAAATAACTACCACATAATACAGGCAATTAATGAAAAGGCCTTGCCTCCTCTAATGAAAGGGAGCAACTGTAATGTCTCAGAGCAAGAAGTGACTTTTCTATCAAAAGCTAAGCATTTTGCATGGTTTGATGAGTTTCTCAAAGTTTGTTAATACAGGGCCCTCATTCACACTTTGGTATGGTAAACAAAGCTTGCTACCAGAACTTCTACTGTAATGAATAGCCTCTGGATAGGCCCTGGAACTGGAAGCCCACAAGACTACATAGATAACGACTCCTAAACTGAAATCCTCCTGATGCAAATCAGTAAACTGTTTTTGCAGATAAAACTGTGGTTCAAGGGAAATAAAGCTTTTGCTGATAAGTTTAGCTAGCCTAGCTCGTTCCTAGGACATCCCCAATGTAATAACATAATTATTTAAGTTACAGGCATAACAGAAGTCTGTACAAAGCCAACACTAGTACATAACAGACTAACACCAGCATGTTAGAAAGTTTTAGATAAAGCAAATGAGCAGTTAAACTCACTGCTCTCAACTGGGTCAGAAGTCTGCGATTACTTCATCCTGAATGCCTATCACCTTTTCTCCCCCTCACTACAGTCATGCAACTTTTTCCGTATCATAGTTCAAAACTCTATTAAAGTATAACTATCCTAATTCACAATTCCTGCCTCCTGCCCCTTCCCATAGTGGGAGAATCAAATATGGGGTCCAATTTAACATTTGGGAAGATTCACAAAGGTTTCCACCAGCAGCAGTCTTGTAAATTCAAGTTTTGCTTTCTGCACTACAGGGAATGAGAAGCAGGAAGGGACAGTGAAAGAGCCAGAAAGACCTGGAGAACTTTAGCTTTACTGTGCAAGAGAGACAGACTAACACTTGCTTGTTTTAAGGGCGCTTTTATGTAGTCTGAAGAGTCGCCAAATAATTTCCATCACCTATTTAAGTTACAGGACAGAAATTCTGTACTTATGTAAAATTTTAGAAGCCCAGGAGAGTAGACCTCTTCATGAAAGTTTATTTTTGAAAACCATCATTAGGGTTTTAGATGAACTGCAAAACAAATGCCCAGTATCTAGGTACCCATTTCCCCACTTACAAAACAATTACAGCTTGCAGCATCTTGCACAAAAGAGTGCTAAGAAGTGCTATTTCTCAAAGCATTTTCAAATCTTCCTGCGAGCTTCATCAGAGCTTAAGGAAATGATAACACTGGTTTTAATCCTTAGACTGCAAGGTTCTGCAATAAAAATTCACATTCAACACACACTAGCACCAGCGCCTTTTGATGTAAGCTATTAATTACCTTAAATGTGGAAGGTATTATGCTACTCCTCCACAATATCATAATACTGGATGAATATAATTTATCACCACACAGTGGAGAGAACATTTTTCATTCTGACAGAGTAAAACAATATTTGTTTTTCTGCACTTTATTTGATCAGCATTCCAGAACACATTTTGCTATAAAAGCACAAGTTCACACCTTATAAAAAAACCATTTTCATTGGCCATTAATATTTTTGCTAAATTTTGAGACCACCACCAATTTAAACAACCTAAACAGAGTCTGTATTAGATTGATATTAAATACTTATCATAGATAGTTTCCAGAACAAGGAATTTCTCTCAGGTGGAGATGTTCCTATTAGCTTCTCTGCCTAGCTTAAGGAATCCAACCAAGTTCCCACAAAAGCCATAGGGAAGATTCTCACCACGGTGGGAAGCAGATCAGAATACTGAGTTTCATTCTTATTTTTATATGCCCAGCTACTCTTGTTTAGCTCATCTGATTGATGTCAAAGCCCGATTAGTGGGATTGCTTTATTAAACTATGGAGAAATACTATCAAGCATTACCAACATACTTAATCCATAGTATTCATATATGTAATTATCTGTAAAGATAGCCATAAGATCCTGCTGTGACTATACATGCATTTTAAGTAGCTGTTTTCCCTTAAATGATGTAGGAACTGAAACTATGGAAAGGTTTCCCAAGTTCTCTGTAATACAGGTCCAAAAGCCTTTGAATGTAAAAGATGATATACAAGTTTCTGATCCCAAGAATAGTCTTTCATGTCAAAAGCTTTCAGATACTGTACTCCAAGAGCTGTTGTCTCTAGGTTTCATCTCCTAGAAGATATACTTTGATAATCAAAGAAAATTCAGAGATATATATTCAAGTTATAAAGTTTTCCTGAAAACTGCCATTTTAAAAAAAAAAGTAAAAAAGTAGTTGCTGGAATTTTCATCTTCAGTAACCCCTAGGATAAGGTGTCAAACTGCACAATCCTTCTCTCCTCCAGCACTTGATCTGTATTTCAAAGCATCTTTTTTAAGCCTTGTCCCTAGGAAACCAAGCTAATATGGTCACACTATGTGATGTCTCCACTCCTATTCAGCCACACCACTCCCAACACATATATATCACCACCTCTAGTCCACTTACTATCTAACCTCAATCAAGTGTTCACAGAGCCTGATGGTTCCCAAAAACAAACAAGTTTCACTGGACTTTTACAAGCTTTATGAAGAGACAACAGCTGGACAGAGGAAATATACCCTTTAAGTACTGTAATGGAGGGAAAGCCAGCAGCATACTTTCACTTACTAGGCATGAAAGCATCCAGGGTATCTTTAACATTTAAGTTGTAAAGTTTTCAACTTCATAATCAATAAAAAAAATATTCCAATAGGTTAATGAGTGGTTGGAGGGATGGCTTGTTGTATTAAGAAATGGGACTGGTGATACAACAATTGTTGTATTAAGAAATGGGACTGGTGAGGTCAGCTTCTGTTCCTAGTTCTTTGCTCCTTAGTAAATTGATACTCTTGCCTATTTACTACTTGGGAAGACCAGGAGTGAGATGATGCTATAGCAGTGCTGTCTCTGAAGTACTACTAGACTTAATTAAGTAGCCTATATCTAATTCTTGAAATATTTCAAGCTTTTCTACTCCTGCAAAGAACTACAAAAAGCAAAACAGAGTTTGACCAATAATGCTATGGAAACAGCTAACTTAACACCCACTTCACTGAGAAGCGTTTACCATACTCTGGAATGCAGCAGCAATAGGCTAGCTCCAATTTCTCCTCATCTGTCACATGTAAATGCCTCAGGGTGTCTGACAGTGTCAAGAGAATTAGCACATCACTTGATAAATTAACCAGATATCAAAAACATTCAAAAAAGGTAAAAGATGTGTCCTAAGAAACATTTTAATCCAAGGGTTCCATCCCAAAAATCAACACCACAGTCAACATGACAATATCGAAGAGCTTTCCTTAGGAGTCTAGTTTCATTCAGATAGTGTGTTGAAAATAGTTATCCAGTCATTTATTATCTCAGATTACGAGCCAGAAATTTCAGTTTCAGAACCAGCCATAATACATTGAAAGCTGTGCAAGGCTAAATTTTGACTCACGTGCACCAGAGTGCAGAGAACACACAATTACCCAAGTAAGAACTACTTAACTGCCTACAGACAAACTGAATTCTTTTGATATACTGCTGAATTAGCAACATTCTTCTGAAGCTGAAATGAAGACTTTCTTGGAGAAATTTGCACAAAGTCATGCCTCTTAATATTTACAAGTTTTATCACATGTACCAAAGGAAGAGACTGTCAGCTCACTTGTGCAACTCTTTAAACTCTTTAAATCCAAAAGCTCATTAGATCCTTTTTTTGGTCAGATGTGGGTTTGTTTTTTTTCTTGTGTTGTGTTAGGTTTGTTTGTTGTTTTTTTTTCTTGTGTTGTGTTAGGTTTGGGGGTTTTTGGTTTTAGGTTTTGCGTTTGGGTGGCTTTTTTTTTTTTGGGGGGGAGGGATAGGGGTGGTGTTGGTTTCCCCCTGTCCACAGTCTGGAAGCACTTATACAATCAACCAAAACTGATCAAGTTTCCAAGAACAGCTACTTCAATTTCTCAGGCTGTATGAAAAACTGTATTCTCCTGCAGGGCTTCTATAATTAAATAAGGCCTTGCCTTATTTCCATAACTAAAGGATGAACCAGAGCAGGGACAGAGCTAAATGATAAGTAATCAAGAAAGAGTCAGTAGATGAGTTTCACAATCTGCCTTGCTGAAAAGCTAAACAATTTGTGCTGGCACACAGCTTAAGAACCAAATACTACTCATGTGAAAGCTGCCTTTGAAAAATTGGTTCTCGACCTCTTATTTGCAAAATGCTCAATTTATACCCTGGATTTCAAACATTTACAACCACAAAAATCGGGATGAACTACTGAGGCTTGAATTCTGTTGTGTCACTACCAATCTGAACTGTATTCACAAAGAAATTAATTTAAAACTGTAATAACGCTTTTTAATTGGATGCTAGGTTTTTGCAGATTGGGAATAACAGGACTGAGGGAGAAAACTCAAAATATCATTAATAAGTCCTAGCTACATTTAATGCTGAAAGCATTTGCTCAGTATTTGCATTTCTATACCTCCACAGAAGAATATTCTCATTGGTTCGGTCTGGTAACTAAAACGCTTCTTTATTAACCATGATTATCAGTGATTACATCAATTGCTCACCATCAGCAACTGATCAAGCACATCAATCGTTAACTAGGGGGGGACGGGAACGGACTGGGGACACCAAGCCAAAGGCGTTCAATTTGACCGCTGGACTCTTACTAGAGTTTGAACTTTCGCAGCTTCCTTGCACGCCCACGCCGAGCGCACCAGGACAGCGGCGAGGACGCAGAGCCTGAGGGGAACCGGCGCTTCTACAACAGCTGAAAAAGTTTAGAGGCGGCAGGAGGGGGAAAAGCAGCTCCTAGAACCGGATCACACGCGAGGGGGCACCCACCGTGCCCGGTACACTTGTGTTATTCCCGGCCCGAGGGGCGGCCGCTGCCCCGCCCGGGGCTTCCCGCGGCCCGCCCCGTCCCGTCCCCCCGCCTCCC